TTTTTTTTTTAAGATAATGTCTTGCTATATAGTTCAGGGTGGCCTTGAATTCACTATGTAGCCCAGGCTGGCCTCCAACCTGCAGTGACCTTCCTGCCTCAGCCTCCCGAGTCCTGAGCGTACACTACCATGCCTAGCTACTCCCCACAAACTGTTAACAGTCAAACGTTTCCTGCAAGGTCCAGGATGCTAAGAAACAGTCTCAAAATGCTTATAAGCAGCCAGCAGCTAAAAAATGCACAACTGTAAGGAGCATGTGGGTTATACCACAGGTGGTGTGAGGTGAAGAAGCAGTGGCACTGAGAGATGAGACAAGGTGGACAACTTTAAATCCAAAAGCAATGGACATTTATTCCTCAGTTTTTGTGCAAGAGTGTAAAGATGCATTCTAAAGAACCTGATGGCTGGAGAGCGTCGGGCACGGCCTTCAGGCTGGCCTGGTTTACAGTCAGAGTAGGAAAAGAAGGGAAAAGGTAACTTGCCGAGTTCACATGAGTGATGTTTCTGGCAAACAAAGTTGTTTACAAGTTTCAAACTACATTTTACTAAAGTCAAGGGAAGACTTCAAAAAGCCACATACAATACAATTTAAAACTGGATGAACATCCTTCTAAATGTTAGTGCAAAGTAATTACGCAGACTCTCCAATACAAGATTGTGCTCATGTTTCCCAGGTCTGGTCAAAGTTGCTCTTCTGTAATTACAATCACAGAGGCTTAACTTCCAAATAGCAATGCCTTTGTGTTCTTACGTCTTATGCACCAAGGGAATGTCACAAGATTTTGATGAAATGCAGCTTAGCTTCATTAATAAAGCAAATTTCTTATTTTAACAGTCATGTTCCCAAAATGCTGCACATATAGGTTTTATGAAAATGTTTTCAAGTTTATGTCTCTTAGAGTTCAATAAAATTACTCTCAAGATTTTTTTTTACTATGTAAACTGGAATTGTTTCATGATTTTGAAATGCAATCGGTATAAACAAAAACATTTTAGGAGTGGGGAAAATCCACCACTAATCTCAGCTAGACAAAGTTCTTAAAATCAAAAAGCCTATTCACACAAAATTAAATGTAATGACTGTAGTAATCAGTTTATTACACAGATTAATCATTCTTGAACGTACAAGCTCCAGAGGAGCAATTGGGTCTTTAAATATACACAAGTATTTCCATCAAATGAATTTTCACCCTTACATCCAAATAGACCTAAGCAGTTAAAAACATAAGAAAAATAAGAGCTATTAGCTATGTATTAACTGAGAAACCACATACAAACCAAAGAATATGGAGAGAAAGGAGCTGAAAGGATAAAGGTTGAAGGGGCAGAGACGTAAAACAGTTGGGAACAAAGCCCGTCACACTTTATGTACTAATAGCTCCAATCCATTTCAATGTTGACCAGTTAAACTTAGACCTTAAAATCCAGGATGTGGGTAGAATTTACTCTGGTTGGTCACAACTTCACCTAAGCTGTAGGTCCTCCAGGATAAAATGAATACAGAAACAGCTTCACGTTCTTCACCTTTCTTTTCATAACTGTTGTGAGTTTAAAACGGATTCCACTTAAAAATACCTCCTACAGGTCAGTGGAGCTGTTCCCCATCCAAGCACACCATGTACCCACCACCCCTCACAAGAGCTTGTTGTTACCAAATTCACGTCAGTAAGGAAAGCTTTTCAGTCTCACACCTAGGTTATGCCTGAAGAACTGGCTTGTCACACATACACTTCTCTGCTAGGAGGCAATGTTGGTACAGAAGTACAGTATTTCTAGTTTGTTGTTTCCAAGTATGTACAACACGCAGCACTGCTGTATCAGGTAAACATGTGCACAGGGGAAGATGAGGCGTGGGCTCATAGAAAGCAGTCAAATGGAAATCAAAAGGACTTTCTCTTTCAGAGCTCCCCTATCTTTATTTGTAGAGGTTTTCCAATAATTTCTTTAATTACATCGCATACTTCTGAGTCCATTCCCGAGCTATTCTGTTGTACCTGTACACATAAAGAGAAGCTTGGTTTAACACAGGTGATGTGTCAGTAACAGATTTCATTCCTTCTCCCACCAGTAACTTGAGGGGAATAATCTAGGACACTGAAGCAAATGTCTTAGAAGTTATTTCTTCTTTTTTATCTTTTTTTTTGAGACAGGGTCTCATTCTGCAGTTCAGGCTGGCCATAAACTCACAGTGATCCTCCTGCCTCAGCCTTCCAAGTGCTGGGATTACAGGTGTGCGCCACCACACCTAGCACTATTTCTTCTTTTTCTGTTTTGTTTTTTTGAGACAAAGTCTTACTAAGTAGTTCAGGCTAACCTTGAACTTGTGGCATACTCCTGGCATCAGCCTCCCCAATGCTGGGATTACAGCACACCCAGAGCCTAGAAGTCATTTCTAACTCAAATTTCTAATAAGCCTTTATTCAATTATAGGAAAAAGAGCTATAAAATGCAAAACACTTTCATGTAAAGGCAATTTATAGAGGATTGTGATTAAATTTTAGCATTTCCTGGCATATACTTGACTAATCAATTTCTTTTTTCTTTTGATTTTTTGAGACAGGGTCTAGCTCTGTAATTCAGGCTTGTCTTGGACTATGTAGCACAGACTGGTCTTGAACTTGTGCCTCCGGTCTCAGACTTCCAAGTGCTGGGACTACAGGGATATACCACTATGCCCAGCTTGATTAATGTATTTCTTAAAAATATCCTAAATTCTCTTTTAAAAAAGTATTAGTGCCAGGCATGGTGATGCATGTCTCTCATCCCAGCACTCAGGAGGCTCAGGCAGGAAGATGACAAGTCCAGGGCCAGCATGAGCTACATAGTGAGACCCTGTCTCAAAAAGTTTATTATGGGGCTGGGGATGTAGCTCAGTGGTAGACTTCTAGCCTTGCATGCACAAGGCCCTGGGTTCAATCCCTGCTTGCCTCCATGGTTTACTTGTATATGTTTCCTATATATGATTACATTCATTGTGGGGAGTTAATACATGTATATAAAACACCTTAATGTCCTCTCCCTCTCATCTTTAGTTCCTCTTCTCATTTGCAAAGGTTCGATCTCCCTATTTACCATTATATCTTTTTTTTTTTTTTTGAGGCAGAGTCTCACTATGCAGTTCAGGCTGGCCTTGAACTCACTATGTAGCCTAGGCTGGCCTTAAGACTTTCACGATCCCACATAAACCTCCTGAATGCTGGAATTACCCATGTAATTACAGGTACACCACTCTACCCAGCTTATCTGCAGTTTTTTATTTTTGGTACCGGGAATCGAACTCAGGACCTTGCACCTGCCACCGGGTGCTTGTGCTGCTAAGCCATATCCCCGGCTTTGCAGTTTTTGAAAGCATATACTAATTGTGACTAAACAAATACCTTCCTTTGTATCAATGAGAAAAGAGGTTCTGAAAGACCTCAAAATCTGTCTGACAAAATGAATGGGTTTACTGCTCTAAGATGACACTGCAGTAAGCTAAACAGAGCAAAAAATTATGTGTTTCTTCTGTTAAAAAAAGGTGTGTAGGGTCAAGCATGGTGGCATGTGCCTGTAGCACCAGCTATTCAAGAGACTGAGGCAGGAGGATCACTAGAACCCAGGAGTTTGAGATCAATCTGAGCAATATAGCAAGAAAGAACAAAAACAAAACAACAAAAACAAAAGATTAAAAAAAGATAAAAATCAAAACCAAAAGAAAATAAACAAAAAAGCAATACAGAAAGGTTCTGCTGTGCTAGGCATGGTGGAGTGTGCCTGTAATCCCAGTACTCAGCAGACTGAGTCAGGAGGATCCCAGTGAGTATGAAGCCAGCCTGGACTATACAGCAAGTGAGATCCTAACTACAAAAAAAAAGTTTTCTAGATAGTGAGAGTCGGGCCGGGGATATAGCTCAGCGGCATAAGCACTTGCCTGGCAAGCCTGAGGTCATGAGTTTGATTCCCGGTACCAAAAAAAGAAAAAAAAAAAAAAGTAAGAGTCACACTCCATTTCCTGTCCTCTGGGGAATATATTAAGATTTAATATTAAATATCTGGCCCATAGTCAGCCCTTAGATTTAAGACAAACATCTCTACCCTACCACAGACACCTTGTCATCCAGAGGCCATACTTACTTTTCTCTATCTGTTTTGTAGATCCGAGCAATCTCAGGCACTAAAGGATCATCTGGATTGGGATCGCACAACAGAGAACAGATGGACAAGAGTACTAGGATGAAAAAAAAATGTGGAAGTTAGTAGAGGTAAAAAACAAAGATTGACAGAAACGTAAGATGGCCACACATGAGAAAATTCTAAGAACCTATTCAGAGCTGGGGAGGTAGCTCTGTGGTACAGCACTTGCTTAGCATGCACAATAAATTGGACTCAGTCCCTAGTACAGGGGAGGGATTTATTTACACAGTAGTGCTTGGTAACAGTAATCATCAGAGATTCTGAGAAGTGCAAACAACTCGATAAGGAGGCACATGCCTGTTCCTAGCACTAGGAAGGCTGAAGCAAGAGGATTGCTGTTGAATTCATGGCCAACTTGGACTACACAGGAAGACCCTGTCTCAAAAAACAGAGCAAAGCAAAGCAAAGCAAAACAAAAATCTCAGATTTCAGATTTAGCCAATAGAAAACTAAAATAAAAAAAAAGAAAACTAAAATGAAAAACTAAAATAAAAATAGCAAAAAGTTAATGCTGAATGCCTATTAGTCTCCAAGGTAAGAATCAATGCTTTTGCTCAAAGTTTCACAATTATGCTATGTGTAAGAAGAGTACCACTGGCTCTTTATGCCTGAACTCCTAAAGAACCTAGCCTAGCCGAGCATGGTGGCACACTTGTAATCCCAGCACTTGGAGAGGCTGAGGCAGGAGGATCGTGGCAAGTTCAAGACCAGCCTAGGCTACAAAGTGAGTTCAAGGTCAGCCTGAACAGCACAGAGACCCTGTCTCAAAGACCAGCCCCCCCCCCTTCCCTCTTGCAAAAAAAAAGTGACTTGTTCACTGGCCCTGAAACAGGAATTGGAAAACAACAGAATTAAAGAAGCCTTACTAGAGGTATAGCTCAGTGGTACAGTACTTGCCTAGGACACATGAAGCCCTAGGTTCAACATTCCATACCACAGAAAAAAAAAAAAAAAAGAAAAAGCAAGTCTTCTAAGTCCAACAACACTTACCAGAGTCTATAAAATTCAATTTTCAGAAGCCCAAGTTCAGGGAACAATGGTTTCTAAAATTCCAAAGACAACCATCACTATTAAATACTTATCTTTGGTAAAAATGACAGTCTTGAGATCCAACAGACACTGTTTTCTCAGGGGCAGGTACCATTGTTTCAAAATACAATGGATCTGTTTTGTTTGTTTATGTCTTTTTGAGACAGGGTTTCACTATGTAGTTGAGGCTGGCCTTGAACTCACTTTATATAGCTCAGGCTGGCCTCAAACTCATGGCAATCCTCCTGCTTCAGGCTCCCGAGTGCTAGGATTACAGGTGTGTGCCAGCTTGTTTTATTTTTAGTTGAAAAGAATTCAGTCTGAGTCTGGAAAATAAAGGCCAGTGCTTGCCTCTACATGGGGATGGTCAGAGTCTTAGTAACAGGATGCAACGTATTACTACCAAGTTCTCAAACTCTTTTCAGTGAAGATTTAGACATTTCCTCAGTGATAAACTGGTACGTGGCATAGAAATCTCAATAGTATAATTTCCTCTGTTCAAATCTGTCATTAACTTACATACTCTTTACTGAATTAAAAAGAGGTGATCATGGTCACTACATTAAGTTCAAGAGACTGATATAATGAAATAAACTGAAAATCTTCTATCATGATGCTAACAGAACTCAATTCACTTATGCTTTGTACCAACAGGCAAAGACTTTGAGCCTTCAGTCCCACAAAACCATCAAATTCAGGAGGAAAAGGTTTACTCATTTTCCCATCAAATCTATTCTACAAAGACCAAGGACTTCTGAGAGATGAGTAAAAAGTTGACAGTTTAGCAACAAAAAAAGCTATTTTCTTGCCTTCCAAGTATATGGGAGGGGCACCAAGAAAGATATTCTCTGACTCTTTCTTCACCACCATTGCCCACAATTCTGGCCAATGGCATTCCCTAACACCTTTTCTTCTTACTGCCAGGTGTCATCACCTGATGCCCTCTTTAATGTGAGAAGAACAGTCTGACACCAATTAGGAAAGATTTCATGTATTTCCTGGAAATGACAACAAGGAGTAACAGATTTCTAAATGTTCATGAAAGTACTGAATGTAGAAAGAAAAAATTCTGACCTATCAAACTGATAAGAGAAAAAAAACAAAACAAAAACAACAACAAACTGACAAGAGCACAAGTCATCTAAAGTTAGAAATGCTGCCAAAATTGGAGGCACAAGTTCCCTTTACTTATTTTTATAATAAAGAAACTTTAGCCACACGTGGTGGCACACACCTGTAATCACAACACTCAGGAGGTGAAGGCAGGATGATTGTTTCAAGTTTGAGACCAGCCTGGGTTATATAGTGAGCTCAAGGACAGCCAGAATAGTGAGACTTTGTCTCAAAAAATTAAAAACAAAAAACAACAACAAAAAAACCCCATAAAATTAAAAGCATAAATTTATCTAAGGGTGGTGGTGCACACCTGAGGCAGAAAGAGCTCAAGCCCAATCAAGCCAAATTCAAGCCCAATCTGGACAATGTGGTGAGACCCTGTCTCAACATAAAAGTGCTCTACTGCAAAGCTACATCACAGCTCAAAGATAAACTTTACTGTATTTATTTATTTGTCTTTTTGAGACAGGGTCCACTATACAGTTCAGGCTGGCGTTGAGCTCACTTTGTAGCCCAGGCTGGTCTTGAACTCACAAAGATCCTCCTGCCTCAGCCACCTGAGTGCTGGGATTACAGGTGTGTGCCACCACGCCCGCCTCAAAGATACATTTTAAAGAAACAGCTTTTACAGGGAAGTGGGCTACCAATATTTTAGACTTGGTGAATGGATTATTAGTGAAAGGATTCCATGAATCTTCCAATCCATGGAAAATTGGTGTTGGCTTAGTATGTGTTACACATTCTTCCTCTGTAAACAGAATTAACTTCTATTACTGCAGCCTACCCAGGTTCTTCGTTCAAGTTTCACCCATATACATTCCTCATCTGTTTATATTTATTTTCTTTCTTTTAGTGGGGGGGCACCGGAAAGCGAACTCAGGAACTCACACTTTCCAGGCAGGCGCTACACCACCAAATCCCTGGCTACATCTTTTAAAAATTTTTTTTCTTTAGTATCATAACCAATAGTCACTTTCAATTCTAAAAATACAGCTGAGTGGTTTTACAGTACAATTATTTGCTTTCTCTGAATTTTCTGTGTATCTAGGTCGCCAAACGTGTATTTTCAAAGTAGGTGAGGGGAGAATTCAGTGTGAGAGTGAATCTTAGGGTGCACAAGGCCTAGGGTTCAGTCCATATCTTCAAAAAGGAGGAAAGAAAAGGTGGTGCCAGGCACAGAGGACCAAGTTTGAGGGCAGCCTTGGTAACCTGGCAAGGCCTGTTCTCAAGGGGGTCTGGGTACAGTTTAGTGGTAGAGTACTTGCCTAGTGTGTGGGAACCCCAAGGTTCATTTCATGAGGAAGGGGAATATAGGTCAAAATCACTGCCTTTAAGACAGACTATATGTGAAAGGATAATTAACATTACACACACAATTAAGGCAACCCTAGGCATGAGAAGGGCAAGGAAAAAGAGATGGTATCAACTTCAGCTATCCAGCACATGGCCCACAGACAATTACAAAATTTCGACTTTTGTGGTCCCATTAGAGTTACATCTCTACTGACACTTGGGGAACAAAGAGAAATCAACACAGCCCGTACTAGACCAGATGATAAAAAGACCAGGTGTGCTACTTTCTCAAGTAGTGTCTGAAATGAAAAGTCGCCCTCTAAAAGAAAAAGGGTCACTTCTTTGGAAAACTACTTTGTTCACAACTTTGTAAAATGTGGTTTCTTGGCTAGGAGTGGAGGCATATACCTGTAATTCCAGCACTCAGGAAAGTGAGACAGGAGCATTGATCTGAGTTCAAGGCCAGCTTGGACTACATAGCAAGATACTGTCTCCATAAACAGAAACAAGCCAAAATAACACAAAACAGTGTTCCCTGGTTTTTCGTTATTTTTGCCTAACCCTTCAGAAATTTTATTTTTTGAGACAGGGTGGTCTCACTATGTAGTTCAAACTGGCTTTGAGGGGCTGGGGATTTAGCTCAGCGGCAAAGCACCTGCCTGGCAAGCACAAGATTGTGAGTTCAGTTCCCGGTACGGGAGAAAAACAAACAAACAAAAAAAACCAAAACAAACAAACAAAAAAAAACAAACTGCCTTTGACCTCATGACAAACCTCCTGAGTCAGTGCTGAGATTACAGGCGTGGCCAGTAGTTTCAGTACCTGGCCAGAAGTTTTAATTTAACTTCTTTTTTTTTTGGTACCTCGAATTGAACTCAGGACCTTGTGCTTGCCAGCCAGGTGCTTTGCCACTGAGCTATACCCCCAGCCCTCAGAAATTTTAGTTTAATGCTGTGTAGTTTTATTCTTTTTTTTTTTTTTTTTTAAATTTTTTTTGAGATAAGGTCTTGCTGTGTTCAGGCTGGCCTCAATTTGGGGCAATCCTCCTGCCTCAGCCTCCTGAGTGCTGGGACTGTAGGCATGTGCCACCACGACAGTGTCATAGGATACACCTATAATCCTAGCACTAGACAGGCTGAGGTAGGAGGATTCCCTCAGTTTGAGGCCAACCTTAGCTACAAAGTAAGTTCAGGGCCAGCCTGACCTTCAGTGAGACTCTGTCTCAAAACCAAAAACCAAACCAAACAAAAAAATTAATTTTAAGAGTATATAAGTCTTAACATCCAACTTACAAGATAAATGTCCAACACTTTTGGTAACTGTGCCTTTATCTCAGTTATTAAAGTACTTATAAGGAATCAGTTAACAGCATTTTTGTTTCTTTTACTTTCATAGTAAATGAAATATTTATTATCATCCCCATTCTACAGGAAAAAAACCCTTAAGAATTCAGAAGCCAATGTGCCTCACATCTCATTCAATAAGAGGTAGAGCTGAAATCTTTACATATATACATTCTTTATTCTTCACCTGAGACTGTGTTCTTCTTGACTGAATATATTCACTAAAGAAGCCATATAATTGGGAGTAGATAAAAAATATTTTCTGTTTTTCAAAATTCACTATCCTAGCCAGGAATAGTGGCACATGCCTATAATTCCAGCACCAAGAGGCTAAGGTAGGAGAACTGCCACAAGTTTGAGGCCAGCCTGGGCTACAAAGTGAGACCCTGAGTAAAAAAACAAACAAAAGACCAAAACAAAACAATAACAAAAAACAGAATTCAACAGCCAACTACCAAAACTTAGTCTATTTCTAGCCATGTAACATACTTTTCTATATAATTCACCCTTACAACATATACAATTTTCTTTTTTTTAAAAAGTATTTTCCCATTCTAGCTGTAAGGACGAATATTCTTAGGTGCATGGAGAAGAACTGATTTCTATCTACTCCTACTGTTTTTTCGTTTTGTTGTTTTGTTTTTTTCCTTTTTGAGACAGGGTCTTGCTGTGTAGTTCAGGTTGGACTTGGACTCACTGTAGCCCAGGCTAGTCTTGTACTCAAGGCAATCCTCCTGCCTTAGCCTCCTGAGTGCTAGGATTATAGGTGTGCACCACCAGGCAGAAGTGTTGTACAATTTCAAATCAGCACGTGAGACAATATTCATTAAAGTAATTGCTTTCTGTGTGTGTGTGTGTTTCTGTATGTGTGTGTGTGTACTGGGGGTGAAATCCAAAGCTTCACTCTGTGTTATATCCCCAGTGCTTCTCCTCTTTTACTTTGATATAAGATTTTGCTAAATTAAATTGCCCAGGCTGGCCTCACACTTGTGATCTTCCTGCTGTACCCTCCCAAGCAGCTGGAATTATAGGCATGTACCATGTCTGGCTTCTACTTTTTGGTCTTAAAAAGCCATTCATACCAAATGCCTACCTTCCTGCTTGTCCTTAAGTAGCACAGTAAACTAGTCACCACACCAAAGAATACCCACACTTGAAAATCCAACTCTTTCCAGCTGTCCCAGGTCTATTTCAGATTTAAGAGAGATTGCTAAAACAAAAACAAAAACAAAAAAACTACACACACCAAAGGTCTGTTTCACACTATGAGAAATTTTTCCTATTAAAAAGAATACAGGAGGGCTGGGGATTTAGCTTAGCGGCACAGCGCCTGCCTGGCAAGTGCAAGGTCATGAGTTCAATTCCCGGTACTGGGAAAAAACAAACAAACAAATAAACAAACAAACACAAAAAAAGAATACAGGTATGGTGGTGCAGGCCTATGATCCCAGCACTCAGGAGGCTGAGGAAGGACAGCTGAAAGTTTCAGCCCAGCCTGGGCAACTTAGTGACTCAGCAAGACACTGGTCTCAAAATAGAAAGGACAGAAATCCCCAGTAAAAAACCAACAGAACAAAATGCAAAACAAAACAAACATTAAGACAAAGCCAGTTTCATATCAAATACTTCATCTACTACCTTTTGAAATAGTTAGTGCTGGAGACCACTGTGACCGTAGAATATCAAGACAAATGCTGCCATTACTGTTAATATTTGGATGATAAATTCTTGTTGTAAATGCAACCTACAAAGAAAGAAAACCCTTTGTAAATTGGCTTATTGGTATCCCACAGCATATTCAAAGAAACTGTCATATTTCAATTACCTTAGGTGGTTTGAAGGGGTAATCTGTTGGGAAATGAATTGTCAAGAAAAATACTCCACCCTGATAGGGACTATCATTCTGTCAATGATAAAAAAAAAGGGGGGAGGGGGATTAAAATGAGTGAATGACATCAACTATTTATTCTAAAATTAACCTGAATACTTACTGGCCCCATTATTGTAGCTTGCCAATGGAACACTGAAAAAGAACAAGAAAAAAAATTACTAAGTTATCCACACTGTTTCTATACCTCCATCCTGTCAAGTTCATTCACAAACAGTATGACAATTGAGTATGGGAGGATGAGGAACCTAATTCACTCTGTAGAGACAAAAATGGCTAGAAAGACCTAGAACACTGGTAAGGTGCTCAATTCAAAAGTACATGGAGCCAGGTGTGGTGTGCATGCCTGTAATTCGAGCACTTGGGAAGCTGAGGCAGGAGGATCACCACGAATTTGAGGCTGAACTGTACTACACAGTAAATTCAAGGCCAGCTTAAACTACACAGACACTCTGTCTCAAAAAACAAAAAAACCCCAAAAAACACACAAAGTACTAGGAGTTGGGTTTGGTGGTGTACACCTATAATCCCACAACTCTGGGATACTGAGGCAGTAATACAACTCTGAATCCCCAGCCTGGGCAACTTACTGACTTGGCAAGACCCTGTCTCAAAAAGGGGGTGGGGCATGGCTGGGAATGTAGTTCAGTGCAAATGCCTTAGATTCAACCCTAGTAAAGGGGTGGTGGTGGTGGTGCAGGGCTGGCCAAACTAGGGGAATCTGTCACTACAACTGTAACCCAAATACCCCAAACCAGCCAATTCTTGTGAAGACTGAGAAGCTATGTGAAAATCCAGCGGGATGTCAGTCCAAGTTCTAAAGTTCCTTCAAAACTTCCTTAATAAGGGCCGGGGATATAGCTCAGCAGCATAACCGCTTGCCTGGCAAGCCTGAGGTCATGGCGTTCGATTGCCGGTACCAAAAAAAAACAAACAAAAACCCCATAAAATTCCTTAATATAAATTGCCTAGGCTACCCTCAAACTTATGATCTTCCTGCTTCAACATCCTGAATGTTGTGATTACAAGCAGATCTGTACCATTATGCCAGGCAAAGAAAGCCATTCTGAGCCTTAAAGACTGGTCCTTGAATCATAGTAAAAGTCCTCTAAAATGCATTATAGGCTTATTGAAGTAAGACTTTTACTGAGAACGAACTCTTACAAGCAACACTGATAGATTAATTCATTTGTAATTCATATCTATTTAGCTTGTAAATCATTTCTTTTGTAATTACCAATATAAATTTTATAAATAGGACTCATTGTGACATTTCTATATATGCATATTTTATGCATTAATCATATCTGCTTAATATTGCAACAGAACTAAACATAATTCACTGGAATCAAGGTATGATGGCACACACCAGTAATCCCAGCACTTGGGAGGCTGAGGCAGGAAGATTGTGAGAGTCTGGGGCCAGCCTAGGCTTCATAGTGAGTTCAAGGCCAGCCTGAACTACACAGCAAGACCTTGTCTCAAAAACAAACAAGCCCCCCAATCACCGGTATCAAAGCTGTAAGTGAAATTCATTTATGTTCAAATGGTAGCATTTTGTCCTGTTAAGCAAATACACAAAGGGTTGTCTTTAAAACAGGAGAAAAGTGCTACTGTAGCAACCAAGACCTCTCATAAAAATGACCTAAAATAGGCAGTGAAAGACAAACTCATTACATGAATTAAACAGAGTACCTGAAGACCTACAATTTAAATTCCACCCCCCCCCAACTGAACTCATGACCTTGTGCTTGCCAGGCAGGCGCTGTGCCGCTGAGCTAAATCCCCAGCCCCTTACAATTTAAATCTTAAATGAGCTGTGGTTATGAGTGGTAGAGCCAAGACTTACCATTTTTAGGGTCTGGATTTAATTATCACGACCAAAGACATAAAGACATACATCTTAAGCATTCTGTCACACTGCTTAATATAAGAATACCTATTAGAATTAATAACAGGTCTCCCTCTGGAATCCTGCTAGCCTCCTAGCTTTCTTAAGTAGAAATATACATAAGAAGGGCCAGATGTGGTGGTAACACTCCACCTGTAATCTCACATTACTCTGAGAAGGTGAGGCAGAAGAATCCCAAGTTCCAGCACTCCTTGGCAATTTAGCAAGACTCTGTCTAAAAAAAAAAAAAAGGAGTGTAGCTGAATTCCCAGGCTGAATGCACTGGGTTCAATCTCCTGGATGGGAAGAAAGCAAAGCAAAGCAAAGCAAAGCAAAGCAAAGCAAAGCAAAGCAAAGCAAAGCAAAGCAAAGCAAAGCAAAGCAAAGCAAAGCAAAACAAAACAAAACAAAACAAAACAAAACAGGGGAGGAGATAAGAGTGTAATCTGTATCAAACCACAATGGTTTTGTAAATAGTTGAGAATCACTGAAGGTTCCAAGTAAAAAGAACTCCAGAAATAGTTACTGAATAAATACTTGGCCATTTCATAAGCATAACATATTGCTGTATTTACATGACCATTTATATAAAAATCCTTTTATTCTATTTAAGGATTAATATTAGATGTTGCAAACAAAAATGCATACTACCCTTCCAATCAAAACCAGCCCCCTCAAGGCCTTCTATGTGCTGGGCAAGTAATCTACCAAAAACTATGCTCCCAGCTTCCCAAACAATTTTATAGTAAAAAAATAAAAACCAAACTCCCACTACTACCTAGGTTTGATGCTGTCAAACCAAATTATACAAACTGAAAGCTATAGTCCGTTAGTTATATGTGCATTTAAATGTCAGGTTCTGAGCTCAATAATCACCCTCTGGTGTTGTGGATAAAATTTTGAGGTTAGAAGGGATAGTGAGAATATATGTTTTGAGACTAAATCCCTGAAGACCTAAATTTGAATGTACAGGCCTCAACAGTGTTCAAAACAGAAGAAATGAAGCACGGTGTATGACCAATAAACCTTCAGCTTACTTCTTTCTGAAGTACCTTTCTTCCTGCTTACCAGATCACTGAATAACGTGGGAAAAAATTTAATGTACTCTAAAACGTGAGTACAGCAGTTTAAAATAAAGTAGCAGTCACCACTTTAATCTTACACTAAATATCAATAATGTGGTGCTAAGGGATTTAAGTATTAGGACAGTCTAAAGGAGTTTAAAAGTTTCATTTTGGCTAAAGTTTCTCCTCACGAGATTAAATTCTGACAGTTTATAACAAAGAAAATGAGACGATGAAAATACATTTAGTTATCTACTTATACTTTTTATGTCCTTATGTGATCAAGTGTTTTGTTTTGTTTTTGAGACAGGGTCTTGCTATGTACTTCAAGCTGGCCTTGAACTCAAGGTGATCCTCTTGCCTCAGCCTCCTGAGTGTTGAGATTACAGGAATGTGTCACCATGCCCTACCAAGCATTTAACAGTAATAGGTGACAACATTTGTAATCCCAGCACTAAGCAGGCTGAGGCAGGAGGATTGCCATGAATTAGAGGCCAGCCTAGAAAGACCATGTCTCCAAATACACACACACACACACACACACACACACACACACACACACACACAGTAATTAAAATCTCAAATGGCCTCAAAAATTTTAAGTATAATGTTTATCAGCAAACACTACCCATAGTTACCCAAGCTTAAGGTCATTTCACTCTCCCTAGGTGTATTTCCTTTTCATTTTTTTGAGACAAAGTTTCCGTATGTAGCACAGACTGTCCTCAAACTCATGGAGACCCTCCCACGTCAGTCTCCCAAGTGCTGAGATTCCAGGCATGCACCACTACATCTGGCCCCTTTCTTCTTCTGAAAAGGTAGATACTGTTGACAACTTAGTATCTGACTCAAGACATTCAAACAGAAAAATGAGGATTTAAGGATTTTTTCCTCCAGCACTGGGGACTGTACCCAGGGGCTTTCTTACTGAGCTATATCCTCAACCCTTTTTATTTTTTGAAATAGGGTCTCACGGAGTTGCCCAGGGTGGGCTCAAACTTACAATCCTCCTGCCTCAGCCTCTCAGAGTGCCAGGATCACAGAAGTGGTCATCACGCCCAATTCAAATTTCTCAAAATTCAGAATGGCTGATGATTGTTTTTACTTTTTTGGAGACAGGATGCCAATGTGCAGTCCAGGCTGGCTTTCAACTCTCAAAATCCTCTTGCCTCAGCCTTCCCAGTGTGGGGATTACAGATGTACGCTACTATACCTCATTTGGCTGATGATGACCTTTAAAAACAGTCTGGGAATTAAATTTCATTTTTAAAATTTTCTTTAGATTGCCAAGGTAATTTGTCTTTGCTGCTACTACTGTTTATACTATTACATGCCTTTCTCAAATCAAAGAGTTATTACCCTGAAAAGTATTTCCCCCAAAACACATATGGTAACAGAAAAAACAAGCTAGGCTTCATCAAAATTTAAAACTATCTAGGTGTGGTGGCACATGCCAGTAAAGGTAGCAGTGGGGAGGCTGAGGCAGGCAGAATGCTGTGTTCTGAGGCCAGCTTGGGGTACATAGATAGTTCAAGGCCAACCTGCACTACACAGTGAGATCCTGTCTCAAAAAACAAAAATAAAAAATTTAAAAGGCCCCATGATGAATATTATCATTATGTACTGCAAACACTTACTAGTAAACATTTAAAAAGAAAGAAAGAAAAGAAGAAGAGAAGAGAAGAGAAAAGAAAGGGGCTAGGATGAAGCTCAGTTTAGGCCTAGGGCTCAATCCCCGGTACTACAAATAAAATTATACTTGATTTTACAAGTATGAAAGAGTAAAAAGAGCTAAACACACTAGATCATCCTTACAATATCTCAAGTGTTCTTTTTTTTTTTTTTGTCTTTCAGAGACAGAGTCTCACTATACAGTTCAGGCTGGCCTCAAACTCACCTCGATCCTCCTGCCTCAGCCTCCCTTCTTCCTCAGCCCTCTGAGTGCTAGGATTACAGGCACGCACCACCGCGCCCAGCTATTTATTTATTTTGAGATAGGGTCTTGCTATGTAGTTCAGGCTGGCCTTGACTTCACTATATAGTCCAGGTAGGCTTCAATCTCAAAACTCAAGGTGATATTCTTGCATGAGTTTCCAAAGTGCTGAGATTACAGGCATGCACCACCACACCTGGAAGCTCTCAGTATTTTATATCTGGGCATTACCTAGAAGGGATGAAGGACAGGCAGGAAGAAACCACAACTACAAAAATAATACCTAGCAGAAGAGGCTCCAAATGTGATGAACACGGAAGATGAGCTGACACACATAACGCCTACTCATAGAAGCTCATAGTACACTGTCCCCCTTCCTGTAGCAAATTATCTTTCCACACAAAATCACCTTGAGAGATGCAGTCACCTGTTCAGAGGTCCCCACAGGTACAGTGCTGCATGGTCTACACCAGAGTTCCATTTAAATACTTACTATCATCTCCAACAGGACCTGCTGAACACTGTGCTGGTGGGTCCCGTGCCAGGTCATTCAATTCCTTAAGAAAAAAACAAAGAGATTTATTCAATATAAATGTAACTTTACATTGTTACTAAATTTACATTTTTACCAATAGTCTTTGTCCTACTTACTGGTAAAGTTCTTTTAGTATCATTCCTTCAAAGTCCAAGGAGTAGATGATGAATCTTTTTGTTGTTTTTTTGAGACAGTCTCCCTAAGTAGTTCAGGGTAGCCTCAATCTCACGGTCATCTTCCTGTCTCAGCCTCCCAAGTGCTGGGACTGCAGGTATGTGTTACCATGCTCAGCCTACACGGTGACTCTCTAAACTGAAGTATTTTGGGTTCTTTAGTGCAAAGGTATGTTATAAGGTGTAGCTTAGTGGTAGAGTGCTTGCCTAATATGCTGGAGGAAACCAAGTTCAATTATGGAGGCAGGGGAGAAATTTTGCTTTTAGTAGTGCTTGGGCTCAAACACAGGGTTTGCTACATGCTAGGCAAGTGGCTTTACCAATGTGCTATAACCCCAGCCCCCCAAATCTTTTCTTGCCTCCTTAGATGTAACCTCATTATGTTGCTCAGGGTTGTCCTAGATTTCCAAGCTCAAGCTATCCTTCCACCTCAGCTTCTCTGGTACTGAACTACAGTTGAGTATAGTGCCTTTTTGTTTTTGTGTGTATTTCTGAGACAAGGTCTCTCTATGCAATGCAGGCTGGCCTCAAATCCACAGAGATCCTCCTGCCTCAGCTTCCCACGTGAAAGAATTACAGATGTGTACCACCATGCCAGGCTTTTTTTTCTTCTTTTGATGTGGGAGATCAAACCCAGGGCCACATGCATGTTAGGCAAGCACTGTTGTTTTCTTTTGTAGTCCTAAACCCAGGCTTGGAATATGCTTGGTTTTTATATATAGTATATTACACACACACACACACACACACAATTTATTTTATTTTATTTTATTTGGTACCAGGATTGAACTCAGGACTTGTGTGCTTGCCAGGCAGGCGCTGTGCCAATAAGCTCTATCTCCAGCCCCAATATACTTCGTTTGTGAAATAAAAACAAGCTGGAAGAAGCTGGGTGTGGTAGCACATGCCTGTAACCCAGCACTCTGGGAGGCTAAGGGAGGAGGATCACAAGCTCCAGCCCAGCTTGGGCAACTCAATGGCTTACTGAGACCCTGCCTCAAAATAAAAATAAATTTTAAAAGGACTGGGGATGTAGCTAGGTATGAAGGCCCTGGCTTCAGGGAACAATAGTAAGAATGTAAAATCTACTATTATAAAATGCAATAAAAATTATTTACTTATTAATAAATTACACAAAGACATGATTTTATTAACCCAAATATAATAATTTGTATTTTTTCTGTAGGTCCCTTTCTCAGTTATTCATCCAGTCATTTTAGAATACTAATTATGCTGTTTTTTAAAACTTAATTTTATTTGTACACTTTTGATATATGTAATAAACACATTCACCACAGGGAAACTGTACCTATACATAATATATCTTATTCTTTTTTTCCCATTCCCCTACCCTCCTTTCAATCCTCTCCTTATTTACAAAAGCTTTGTTTCCATTTTTCTCTTTTATTCCCTTTTCTCTTCCTTCCCTTCCAATTATACTGTTTTATCCTATATGTAAAGTTGGAGTACAATAAAGTACAGAAATAAAGTCTAGGGGGGGAATATTCTGGGACTGAGATAAATCTTTAACAACATTAACCAGGTGTGGTGGCACACATCTGTAATCCCAACACATGGGAGGCTGAGCCAAGAGGACAGCTTGAGTTCAAGGCCAACCTGAATTGCATAGGGAGAACCTTTCTCAAAACAAAACACACACACACAGATACACGCACACACACAGACACACACACACACACCCCAAAACCAAAACCTAAAGTTTTAACAACATTTTAAGTATTTCAGATTCTGGACTTTGTCTCTTCCTACAGATTTCCTGTCCATGTCAAAGAATAAATAAAGCCTATTGTACAATTCCTGTTCCTAAATGTTTTCTGCAATACAAACCACTATTACAAGGACTCTTGACCAGGGATGTAGCTCACTGACACAGCGCCTGAGTTCAACTATTGGTACCAAACTAACAAAAAAACCCTCTTGCTTGATTCAAGAACCATTATAGCAAGAGGCTGCTATTAAAAATACAATTTGAATTTAACAAATTATTCTGAAGAGCTGCCATGTGCACTAAATGGAATTTTACTTCATCCTTTGCTCCTTTCAAATTGAATTACTGTTTCTCATGCCAAATGACATCAAGATTTGACCTCAAGAACTGTGACTTATCTAACCTGAACATAACATCTATCATTTCATCTCATGAACCAGTATGACATAATTAATTTTAAAAACCTAACTCAAATGTAGGCTAATAGACATTTAATATACTCATTCAACACTTCTTTGGTTCAAGGCAGATACGGCTCTCAAAAGCGTAATGCCGCCGGGTGTGGTGGTGCATGCCTGTAATCCTAGCACTCCTGTAATCCCAGCACTCGGGAGGCTGAGGAAGGAGGATCGTTGTGAGTTCAAGACCAGTCTGGGCTACAAAGTGAGCTCAAGGCCAGCCTGAGCTCCATCGTGAGACCCTGTCTCAAAAAAAAAAAAAAAAAAAAAAAAGCATAATGCTAAGTAAAACAAACCAGATATAAAAAAGACTTATAGTACATGGTATGATTACACTTGACATTCTAGAAAAGGTAAAGCTATAAAAAACAAAGCAGATTAATGGTTCCAGTGGCCAGAGGTAAGGGACTGAGTACAAATGGACAGGAGTTGGGGTGTGTGCGTGTGTGTTATGTAACAGAAATGTGATATATCATGGTTTCAGTAAAAGTTGTACAACTACATATGTGTTTGTCAAAATAAAGTGAATACTGAGAATTGATGAGCTTCACTTAAAATGGTTCAATTTCATTGTATATAATACATATCAAAGCTGTTTATTTTGTTAAGATATTGGAGATTCAAGTTAGGGCCTTGAATATGCTGGGGAAGCACTTACCAACTGAGATACAACTCCATATCTTCAAAGTTGATTATTTTTAAATGGACACAACCATCCATCTTTGTGAATAAAGTATCTCTGAATACACAAGAATCCAGTTAGCAGCAGGTGCTGTAAGGAAGCTTGCTTTATGGCAAGAATGGAAAATGTAAATACTCCTTTTTTACCCTTTTGAATTTTTATAAACTATGTATATACTGTCTGTGAAAAAATTACCCTTTCTGACTGTAAACGTGGATTAAATTAATTTACTAAAAATTGTTACCGTCTGGAGAGCAAACTAGTGAAGACTCAGACTAAATAGGCAACCAGTAATACTGACATTTCTACATCAAGATAAAAACTAAAGTAGAATCTTTAATAAAGACGCTGATCTAGTCAGAATATGTAGAGAGAAAAAAAATCTGAGTAAGTTCCCTTTATCACTTGGCTTTATACCTAATTCCTTTGACTTTTTAAATTAATTAATTAATCTTATTTTTTACTTTTTTGAAACAAGGCCTCGCTATGCAGTTCAGGCTGGCTTTCAAATCATTATGTAGCCCAGGCTGGCTTCCAACTCACAGGGATCCTCCTGCCTCAGCCTCCTGAGTGCTGGGATTACAGGCATGCAACACCACACTCAGCTTGACTTTCTATTTTAAGAAAACGGATTTAAAATTTTTTAAAAACAAGCCAGGCATGGTGGTACTCTCTTGTAATCCCAGCACTCGGGAGGCTGAGGTGGGAGGATCGTTGTGAGTTCGAGGCCAACCTGGACTACAAAGTGAGTTCAAGGCCAGCCTAAACTGCATAGTGAAACCCTGTCTCAAAAAGACAAAAAAAGAAAAAACAGGAGGGGCTGGGATATAGCTTAACAGTGCAGGTCCTGAGTTTGATTTCTGGTACCGAAGTACCAGGAGGACCTGAGGACTTGAGTTCGATTCCTGGTACCTAAAAATTAAAAAATCTTTAAAACGAAAAACTTAAAAAAAAAAAAAAAAATTCAGATTAGTCTTGTCTATCTTATAGCAAATCACATTATTGGGATTAAGAGAAAGATTAGGACTAAAACTCAAAAACTAGGAATTAGTGGTTTATGGGAAAACTGTTATGGAGAGGGCAAGAGAAATAAAGTACAGTATATATACATGTAGGGAAAGAAGGGAGGAGGAAACCTTCAGTTAAAATAGAAAATCCTCAATTTTTGTTTTGTTTTGGTTTTTTTGAGAAAATGTCTTTGTAGCATAGGTTGGCCTTGAGCTCATGGCGATCCTCCTGCCTCAGCCTCCCAAGTGCTGGGATAACAGGCATGCACCACCACCACCACCACCACCCACCACCATGCCTGGTGAAAATCCCCCATTTTAAAAAGATAGGCCAGGTGTGGTGGTGCATGCCTATAACCCCAGCACTTGCAAGGCTGAGGTAGGAGGATCGTTGCAAGTTCGAGACCAGCCTGGGCTACAAAGTCAGCTCAAGGGCAGCCTGAACTGCAGAGCAAGAACCTGTTTCAAAAAGACAATGAATAAATGAATGAATGAATCAATCAATCTATCCATTAATGTTTCTTTGTTGCAACATACTAACCTTTTTTTGGTACTGGAAATCAAACTCAGGACCTTGCCCTTGCCAGGCAGGCGCTGTGCCACTGAGCTATATCCCTGGCATGCATACTAATCTTGTACATAGGAATATAGCAGAGCTGAGCATGGTAGTGCACAGCTCTAATTCTATCATTCAAGAGGCTGAGAAAAGTAGATTGCTGTGAGTCTGAGGTCAGCCTAGGCTATACAGTGAGTTCAAAGGCCAGCCTGGACTACATACCAAGACCTAATTTCAAAAAACCAAAAAGGAGTTCGGGTGTGGTGGTACATGCCTGTAATCCCACTCAGGGGGCCTCAAACTCGAGGCAATCCTCCTGTCTCAGCCTCCAGAGTGCTGGGAGAGAGCCGGGGATATAGCTCAGTGGTACAAGTGCCTGCCTGGCAAGCACAAGGTCCTGAGTTCAACTCCTGGTACCAAAAAAACCTCCCCCCAAAACCCAAAAACAGACTACAGGAGTGTACCACCATGCCTAGCTCTTCAGGCTGATCTTGAACTAACTAACCCATGTTGGCATCCAACTCCCAGTAATTCTCGGCCTCCTGAGTGCAAGGAGTACGGTATGCAGCACCACACCTGGCTAATTGCCATTTATTAAAATGAGATGTTCCAATTATTGAAAGAATTTTCTCCTAAATAGATCACTATCTTATTTTCCCCATGTGTACTGAAGGATGATACTGAGAATTGAATTCAGGGTCTTCATACAGCGTAGGCCTTTTGGGATATATATTTATATTTATACAGGGTCTCATTATGTAGTTCAGGCTGGGCTTGAACTCACGGCAATCCTCCTGCCTCAGGCTCCCAAGTGCTGGGATCACAGGTGTGTGCTACCACACCTGGTTTTGATTTTATATTTTAAGACATAGTCTAAACTGCTAAACTGCACAGATTAGGCTTGAATTTCTGATCCTCCTGACTCAACCTCCCCAGACTACTGAGATTACAGACGTGTAACCACCATATTTGGCATGGATCACTGTTTTCTAAATTTATTTTTTTTTTAAAAATGGAGATTATGCACATGATCTTCACTTCAATAATTAGTTTTAAACTGGGTGTGGTGGCATACACCTGTAAAC